AGAACATCTTGAGAGGAATATGATTTTTTTTTCATTTTATCTACAAAAATAAAAGAGAACTAAGCTTGATTTCCATTTTAAATTGAATAGCACTTGAGGAAATAACTTTTTGAGTGGTGCAAATTTGTAGGACATTTTGTAATCATGCATCAATATGGTGTCAACAAATGCTTTTTGATGTAGAAGATATCAGAACAAAACTATCCAAGTTCGTAGAATGTCTAACATTGCATTCATGTGTTCATATACTCTTTATTATCATTATCTTGTCTGAATTATATGGGATTGACCATAGGAGACTGATGCTCCTCCCTCATTAAACGTTGAAAAATGTTAGGGAAAATTTTAATTTAGTACCCTGTATTTTAGGGGTATTCTTAGTTTAGTACTCAAACTTCAAAATGTGCCACTACAATACTTAAACTCTCAAAAACTATCACGTGATGTCATGTGTGACTTAAAGCTTTTGAAAATGTCAAAATAAACGCTAAAAAATGTTAGGAAAAATTTTAAATTAGTACCCTATATTTTAGGGGCAATCTCAGTTTAGTACTCGAACTTCAAAATGTGCCACTACAATACCTCAACTCTAAGAAACTGCCAATTTAGTCATTGCCGCGTTAATAATCTGTCAACTATTTGTATAACATGATGTCATGTGCGACTTAAAACTTTACACTTCAAAAGAAGACATTATTCATTGTATTCTACCTTAAGACTGAACCAAAATAGGTGTCGTCCATTATTTCCATCTTTATACGGTCCATAGGTTCTTCCATCTTGTTGATAATATTCCGAGTAATCAATGGATCTATCTAACCACTACCTATTTCCTTTCTCCAAAAGAATTAAAATTCCAATCTATATAAAGACGTAAATACCAAAATGCAGAAAAAAAAGGAGTCTCAAAACTAATGAAATCCAACAAAGAAATGAAGGACAAATAGAATGTAACGTATATAGTTGACTAAAAAAAGAAAACAAATGCAAAATGGGAAGATGGAAAAGGACGAAAGGGAGAAAAAAGAAGAAAGATTGATGATCTTACCTGTAGTTATAAGAAATAAGAAGCACAAAACAAAACACAATAATACATTAGTGCCTTGTAATATGACAACCAAGTAGTCAAGATTTCTAAATCAAAGGTAAGTACATTATTTATTTATTAAAAAAAAGAAAATGGTGAGTTATGTTCATGGTTGCCCAACATGAAAGGTCATTTCCACTAAATTTCTGCATCTATTGCACAAAGAAAGAGATCAATGTGTGGAAAAAAGGTTTTTGAGGACAGTCCATTGGGGATGCGTAGGTTATGAACCAATGATCATTTGAATGTTGTTTTCATCCTCATACAATCTTTTTAGTTGGATGAGTTTTGTTTAAATTGGTTTATGTGGGAGTGGGAGTAGTAGATAAAGAAAATTAGGTGACACTTGAAGGACCATTTTGTCCTTTCATATGCCACTTAACATTAGTTTACAATTTTGGACTAAACTGGCAGTTTTAGGGAGTTTACCCATTTAAGTACTACTAGTATGTGTGTAAGTGCATTGCATGTGATAAATTTTGTGATGATGATGATAGTATATAATATGTTTCTAATTTTTATTTTATTTTTTACTTTTTTTATATTTCTATGTCTATAAAAATTATTTTATATGTCACACTTATTATGGCTCATTAATATAGAGATATTCCCAAATGTTTTCTATATAATTTATATATTTTTTGTGTTTTTATCTTTTTAAAATTATATTATTTAACTATAACTTCATGATTTGACACATTTGACCTGAAATGTTGAATTAATCTACCACCAAATAAGAATACAATTTCACTTTTGGGTTAGCTTTGAATTTTGTATTTAATTTATATCATCAATAAAAAATAAAAACAATTCTTGTTTATTATGTCTAATTTTTTATATGATTAATATAAAATATTAGAGATGTGTCCAAATGTTTTTTTATATAGTTTATATTTTTCATTTTGTTGCATTTTTATCTTTTTTTTTTAATTTTTATTATTTTATTATGAAATCCAATTGACACACATGACCCAAAAGTTTGAATTGTTGACCCGACACTAGGAAAACAATTTCATTTTTGGGTTGAATTAAATTTTATATTTTATTTTCAACATCAATAAGGTAACTATTATTTATCACACTTATTTTTCTTGAATATGATTAGTATAAAATATTTAATAGATGCATAATTATTATTTAAATTTTTTTGTATTATTACATAACATTTTGTGTTTTTATATTTTTCCATTTTTATTTAATTATGATATGATATCAAGGTTTTACACATTTGACTCAAAAGGTTGAATTGTTGACTTGACACCACAAAAACAATTCTTATTTTTGGATTGGTTTTAAATTTATATTTCATTCCAACATCAATGAGAATAGTTATTATTTATCACACTTATTTTTCTTTAACATGATTAATATATATATATATATATATATATATATATATATATATATATATATATAAAACATTAGAGATGTGCCCAATTTTGTATATTTGTTATCTATTTATATTTTAAATTTTGACATCATGGATTAGCCCACTTGACCTGGATGGTTGAATTGATTACTTGCCACCATGATGGAAAAATGGTTCCATTTTTGGGGTAAATTTAAAAAAACATATATTTTATATTGTTAAAAGTATTGGACATAGATCCATTGGTAAAACTTATTTGTTTTAATTTTGTGAAAATAATATTTTAAATATAGGATTCAATAAAAGAATAAGAATTAATACCCTAAGATAAGACTTAATGAGAGAGAATTGAATGAAGATTTAGTAGTTTAAATTACATTTTGTGCCCTCACAATTAAAGAAGGACCAAATTCAAAAATAGGGGTATTCTAGTCAAGAATAGGATTCAATAAATGCTAATGGGATTTAATACTTTAAATATGAGACTTAATGAGAGGGATTTGAATAAGGAGAAAGTTATTTTCAAATTACGTTTCTGTCCTTAAAATTATACAATGACCAAATTAAAAAAAATTTGGGGTAATTTAGTCAAATAAAAGTTCCACACCATTATTTACACTTTTAGTTATAGTATATAAGCATTATTTTTTTTTTCCAAAAAAAATATAAGCATTAAATGAAAAATGTAAAATGACATTTTTGCTATAGCTTATTTTCCAATTACTTGAATAGAGGAAGTACTTTTGTGTCTTTTTATCAAATAAGCACTAAATGAAGATGTAAAATAACAATTTTACCTTTGTCCGTTTTTCAATTCAAGCTTTAGAGAGGGGGCATTTGTTGTCCAATAAAAATTCCATAAATTTAAACACCTATTCACACTTTTATATATAATATAAATATTGACACCTTTTAAAATTAAAATGCTAATATGAAAATTTCTCAAAATGTTACTCATTTTTCATCAAAATTTCTCAAAATGAAGATGTAAAATAACAATTAAAATTACAGGTTTTTCGGTGATAGTCAAAAAAAAAAAAAAAAAGTCTGGACACACTTCATTGAAATGACAATGTTTGTATTTTACACTTTTAACATATTTATATTTGCATTTTAACTCAAAGGAGAGTATTATTAATGGATTTAGTTATCTGTGTACTACCTGGCTACCCATAGAGATTAAATTTGATTATATCGATTTTGGTTTTGTAATTTGTGTCCCGATTAATAATTGGGGCTACTTTATTAAGACTTGAACCAAATATAAATGCATGTTTGTATTTATATTACTTCCAAATTGAGCCAAAAGGGTACGTTTTATAGACAATATATGATAATTTTGGTTAAAAATACTGATTTTACCAATAATTTAGCATTTTACTGTTTTTTTTTTTTTAAAGAATCAGTTTACTATTGAATGGCATGTTTATTAAGGTAAGATTATAAAAAATGGGGTTCTAAGTTGTAATAATATAAGTAATTATAGATGTTAAACATAATTTTTTTATTCTGAAGGTAATACTTGTTTCATCAACCGATTAATAATTGGTTCGGTTCTAGGACTGATCCTTTAATTATTTTTCAAGCTAACCGCTTCAAGATCTTATAATTGGGCCTTAATTGTATTGCTTAATCACTAATCTTGTGTTTATACCTTATAAAAATTAATTAACTAATTTTTTTCTTGATTATATACATGGTATATTCTCTCAATCTTTTCCCTTTCAAGTGATATTTTATTAATTATGATTTATTAGTCTTTATTATTTAAAATTTTGTTTTACCACGTGACATAATTGAAGGTTTTGAATAAGGGGGCCACAGACATTAGAGTGAATATTGGACGTCAGATTGGAATCTACATACACTGTCAAATGGGGACCACTAGAACAATCCAATAATGACATTACAACCCAATCACCAATCCAACGGTGTAAAAATATGTTTTGATGAATCGCGACCCTTTATTCTCTTTTTATTGGTTTCTCTTTTCATGACATGACATATTGACATGTATCATGTGTGTGTACGGTTTCTTTCTTTTTTTTTTCCTTTCTGCACTTGTATTTATTAATATTGTAAATGACTAAATTACCAAAAGCCTTGGTTAAATGACAACAGAGTGACCTATCCCATTTCCACGTCTATGTATTTCTGGAGGGGTACTATCGTGAAAACAGAAAACGAAAGAAGAAAGTCTCAAGTCTGATATAAATAAATAAATAAAATTTACAGAAATTTAAACTTAAAGACGTCTAACTAAAACAGTAAACAAAACGTCTCTCCAAAGTTTCACAAAACCCAAGCTCTCTCCCTTCGTTTTCATAAATACGTTTCCTGGGGCCACGATGACAGACACCTGTTTTCAACCGTTCATGAATTATGAGATCTAAAGCCTCGAAATAACCAGTTGTAAATAATGTAAAATTTTCAAATTGCATAAGCCAAGATTCTAATCCAAGGGTTTAGATTAAGGATCTAAATTGTGATCCATATACACAAAATGCATTTTGTCTAATTCATTTACTTGGATTTTTACTCCCAATCACTACGACGACATTTCTGCTCTTAATTCTCGCCCAAAACAACCTTCATTCCCCTCTCTTTCCGATTTTCCGGTGTATAACCTAGCCGGAAAAGCGTAGCGACCGTCGCCTCCTCCCCCGGTCTCTAATAAAAAAACACTCTGCCATCTCACACTCAACTCCCATACCCATACATTCACCTCTCTCTCTCTCTCTCTCTTAAAACCAGAAAAAAGAGAGCGACCCAGAGAAGGCTTTCACTTGTACATGTTTAATCCTTCAAAATCTTTCTGGGTTTCTTTAGTCTTCTTTATTTGTGCAGGTTCAAGTGACTAGCTAAGAGAAGTGAAGCAGTCAAGCTATAGAGTTTCAGAGTATTTTATATTCTTGTCTGCGAGGAGATGCGAGGACAGTGGAGATTTCTTTTTTAATCTTTGTTCAATTTATCTGATAATGGTGGCTGCCATTTCTGCAAATGCTTCAACTAATTCATCGAACCCCAAGACCTCCTCACAACAAGAAGAGATTCGTCGAAATCCAAAAAGGCCTCCCCTGTTACCTTCTGAAAAGGACAATGGCGTCGTTGGTTCTCGGAGACCGAAATCCAGAGAAATCACTTCTAGGTACATGTCCCCTTCCACTTCCACCTCTTCTATTTCCTCTTCTTCTTCTAGACGATGCCCATCTCCTCTTGTTTCGAGGCCCACTACGTCGACAGCCGCTTCAACACCATTGCCGTCTTTGATCAAACGGTCTCAGTCTGCCGAGCGGAGGCGTCCAGTCACCCCTCGACCCACCACGCCACTGCCTGATTCGACGAGGACGGGCAATGCTGCTGAAATTTCAGTAGCTTCAAAAATGTTGTTCACTTCTACGCGTAGTTTGTCAGTTTCGTTTCAAGGGGAATCGTTCTCACTTCCGATTAGTAAGACGAAGGCCGCTCCAACGCCCAATTTGAGTAATACGAGAAAGGCTACACCGGAGCGGAGGAGGACGACGCCATTGAGAGGGAAGATTGATGGTTCTGGAGGAGTAGATCAGATGGAGAACTCAAAACCCATTGATCAGCAACGTTGGCCTGGCAGAACCAGAACGGCAAATCCTTTAACAAGAAGTTTAGATTACACCGTTGACAAGAAAAAACTCATTGAATCTGGAACCGTAGTTCGCGCATTGCAGCAATCAATGATTGATGAAGGTAGGAGGGCATCGTTTGACGGTAGATTACATCGGGATTCAAGCATTGCCGACTTTGTAAAGACTGTTCAGCATGCAATGGATGCCAATTCCACAAACGGGTCATCAGTTCCCTCCGATCTCACTGCATCTGATACCGAGAGTGTCTCCTCTGGCAGCACTTCTGGAGTACAGGAATGCAACGGGGTTTCTCGAGCTCGGACCGGGCCTCGTGGAATCAGTGTCCCTGCTAGGTTTTGGCAGGAGACAAATAGCCGGTTGCGGCGTTTACAAGACCCTGGTTCGCCATTGTCGACGAACACTGGTTCAAGGACGACCGCTCCACCAAAACTTATTCCATCCAAGAAACCATTGAGTTTTAGCGATAGTCCCATATCATCTCCTCGGACTATCTCCACTACCGGCAGCAGAACGTTGTCATCACCTCTCCGGGGGCCGATTAGACCTGCATCCCCTAGTAAGCTAATGACAACTTCAACTTCTTCTCCGTCCAGGGGAATGCCCAGTCCTTCACGGATGAGGAATGCAGCAGCAATCTCCCTGAGTAGTCACTCTGTCAACAATCCGTCAATTCTTAGCTTTTCTGTTGACGTTCGGAGAGGGAAGATGGGGGAGAACCGGATTGTTGATGCACATCTGTTGAGGCTTCTGTATAACCGCCACTTGCAGTGGCGGTTTGTAAATGCGAGAGCAGACGCTGCCTTGTTGTTGCAGAGGTTAACTGCAGAGGTATGGCTTTCTAAATTTTTATTTGTCTATTTCGAGCTCTCTTCTTTCTTCTCTGCTATTTGTTAACCAATGCAAGTGCACACATGGTAAAGGTTTCGTTTGAGTTGCTCCATATTATTTTCTTGGGATGCAACTGTTATATTTATCAATTCCTTTCGGCCTTGTCATCACAAGCACAATGGTTGTAACTAAACCTTAGAATTTTCATTTTCTTTATGCTCCATCAACGAAGATGAGAGGAGGTGCAGTTTAGTAAAATGGCTATTGCTCAGAGAATCTACGCATATTAGCGGTAGTACTTACAATGTTATAATTGGCTTTGGCATGATCTCTTGTACCATGAAAATTGGTTGAATTAGGTCATCTTGGATATTCAGAAAATAGGATGTGCCATGAATAGCCTTTTCTTGCAAAAGCATAACTAATTTATGAATACAATTGCTTCAGAGATCAGAGTTCAGACAGACTATCTGCTTTTTAGGAGGGCATACCGTCTATAAGACCAACTATAGGTTTGGATGTAAATTTATAAAAAATTCCAGTAATCTTATATCACTTGATACCAATCAAAAAAATTAAATAAATAAAACTCTCAGTTGACAAGAATAGCATTCATGAAACAAGATTACCTTAATTGGGAGCTACAGCCTCAAAGTTGATAAAATTGAAATTGATTGGACATTCATCAGGATCGTTTTGAAGCTTAAAAAAGTTTGTTGAAGATATAGGTATGTTAGCTTTCATATGGCAAGAAAATATGTTATATAATGCCAGAACTTTGTGAAATAAGGTAATCATTTTGATAGGGCAAGAACCTATTTTCTAGGTATGTTCTATATGCGTATCCTAGTTTCTCTTTTGGCAAGTAAACATACACTTGTCTCATTCAGTTACGGTCCAAATTCTGCCTTCTACCCTGCAGCTAGCTTAGCTAGAGAAAGGGGTGAATAGAATCTTCATTATTGGATGAAGCAAAAAAAAAAAAAAAAGAATTTTCATTATTGGGGATCCCATGCTCCAGGGCATCTGTAGTTGCAGTCTATATAATCTTATTTGTTTTGTCAGTCATGAAGTCATGGTCCTCTTCCATCCTTTCTCAGAATCCAACATTTCCAGGAGTCTGTGTAAATATTTATAATTCTAACATTACATGACTATGGGAAAAAAGTTTAGATGTCTAATTTTGTTACTTAATGTTTTATAGGAAAAATGGCATCCCTCATGTACATTAGCTGTTCATTAATACCAAATTATAAAAGAGAAAAATGGTGTTTGAATCTAACATGTGCTTGACAAAGACCCTTCATTTTAGAAAGTCCATGCAACACATTGTATAAAAGCCTTATTTCAGAATACTGCAGGAAAAAAGTATGCCCTAGTCGATGCCCTGGAAGATGGGCAAAACCTGCACAGGGGAAGAAGGTTTATGCCTCCATATGCTCTCAACACTATTGACCAGTAAAAAGTTAACAAAGAACCATTTTCCCTTTCCCAATAGACTCATTTGGAGCCTTCTTATCGCAAACGTGGACTGTGTTCTTGGTTATGTGTATGGAGTGTTAGGAATTGGTTTCAAATTTATTCCTTGTAAATTGTAATGTTTTTTTCTTTTTTCTTTTTTTCTTTTTTTCTTTTTTTTGATAAATAACAAAGACTTTTATTAAGAGATATTAATATAGAAAAATGTTATGGGCCTGCGAATAGGATCTCGGTCAGTTAACGGGGAAAACCTCTTGTTTTCCCTTATTTCTCCCTTTCCTCGAGGTACCTATCTTTGGCGCCTTAATGGTGATTTGTTAAAGAGATCACCAACTCTCCTCTGCTCTTTCTTGACTGAAAATTTCGATGATTTCATTGAATAACATCTGCTCCTTTAAATAGGAGATTACAAGAAGATAAGAGTCCTTCTTTAGGAAGACATCCTAACAACATTTATCTCTAAATGATAATGCTACTGCCTAATTAACAGGAACACTGAATTTAGCCTAGAGATAAGATAGGAACACTGAATTTAGCCTAGAGATAAGATAGAAACACTAAATCTAGCTAAGAGATAAGATAGGAACACTGAATCTAGCTAAGAGATAAGATAACACTGAATCTAGTTAAGAGATAAGATAACACTGAATCTAGCTAAGAGGTAAGATAGGAACATTGAATCTAGCTAAGAGATAAGATACGAACATTGAATCTAGCTAAGAGATAAGATAACACTGAATCTAGCTAAGAGATAAGATAGGAACACTG